ACAAATTTTCATACTATATTCAAATTTTTTTTACCAATTTTGAGTTTAAAAATTATATTTTATTATTATTTTTTTTTTTGGTAAAAAGGAGATAGCATAGATACTTAATGTATTACAACATCCCTGGGAAACATAGTCCCAATACAATCCGATAAAAGTAAGTTACAAAGATCGGCAGGACATTGATCCAGCACAACAAAAGAAGAGTCCGACTTTGCACCCTTTTTTGCCAACCCGTCTGCAACTGCGTTGGCTTCCCTAAAAACATGATTAAGCTGAAGGCCGGGGATTTGAGTCATCATATCCCTGCAATCCGCAATTAAAACACCAAGTGAGTGAAAAGTAGAATTAGCAGAGTCTAAGAGGGTTTTAACAACCTTAGAGTCAGTTTCAATAATTAAATTGGAGAACCCCCTGTCCAAAGCAAGCTTGAGACCATCTCTCAAAGCCCACAACTCTGCCGAAAGACTAGAAGTAAACCCAATATTGTGGTAGAAGCCAAGCTGCCAATTCCCAATGTCATCCCTAAAAACCCCTCCCGCCCCAGCAGTGCCTGGGTTTGTTAAAGCTGAACCATCGATGTTCAGCTTCAAACTCCCAGGAGGAGGCGGACTCCATCCAACAAGAACAGTGGCCGAAGTCTTGGGTTCATGAGCCATGTGGAAAGCCTGGCCAAATTCATTGATTCTATCCAAGATAAAATCTCGAGCCATTGCAGTTGAGAAATTCTTCCCATCATGGACCAATTGGTTGCGAAAGTACCAAAGAGACCAGATGATGAACGAGAAGATGGTACTCCATTTCCAATTGTTAGAAGCATCAGTGCAAGTAGCATTAGCATAAAGCCAGTCATTGAATTCCAGGTTATGAAATAGAGTGTTAATGGGATGCGGAGTGAGAAGAGACCACAATAATTTAGAGAAGAAACATTCCCTAAAAATGTGATTAAGAGTTTCTGGAGCATGATGACACCTAGGACAAGAGCTTGACACAGTAACTCCCCAATTAAACAAAGTCTCAAAGGTAAGCAATCTACCATGCCTCAACAACCATAAGAAAGAATGAATTCTAGGTAAAGTGTGGATTTTCCAGATCCACGACCAAGAACAACCATTCTGAGGGGATATATTTTTTGCTAAGAGGTAGGCAGATTTAGTCTTGAAAAGGCCATTACTAGAAAACCCCCAAATAAATGCATCATGTTCAGCACAAGAGATTTGGAGAGGGATGGCTTTGATCTTATTCAAAATACTATCAGGAAGAGAGTAGGAAATCAAATCCCAGTTCCATTCCCCAGAAGGTAACAGAGCTTCCTTCACAGAAACATTAAGAGTATCCTGTCGGAACGGACCATAGATTATTGAATTAAGAGGAAAGTTGCCAACCCAAGCATCTTGCCAAAAGGAAATATTATCACCGTCACGAGGGATCCATCTAACCCCTCTGTTAATAATCTGATTCCCCTTACTAATATCTCTAAGCACAGGAGAGGGTTTCTGAATACTACTTTTAGGACCTTCAATGTTGAACTTAGCCCGGAAAGCCCTCATCCATATTTTATCCTTCTCAGTGAGCAAACGCCAATGGACTTTAGCCATAGCTGCTTGATTAGCCTCCTTAGAGGATCGGAGGCTCAGGCCACCAAATTTCTTTGGTTGCGTCATTCTATCCCAAGAGACAAGGTTGGCTTTCTTTTTTTCCTGAGTGGATCCCCAAAGGAATTGGCGAGAGATACCATCCAACTCCTTATGTATGGCAACCGGGAAAAAAACACCTTGCATATAATAATTCGGAATAGAAGAGAGAACAGAAGACACCAAAGTAGTTCTTCCAGCTAAGGATAACATATTAGCTTTCCAACCAGAAAGTTTAGTACGAACCTTATCAATGATAAAGTTACAATCAGCCTTGGAGATCCTTCTGGGGGTAATAGGAATACCAAGATACTTTCCCAAGTGGTCAGTTTCAGAGATATTGAGAATATTACACACTTCACTCTTGGTAATAGGTTGGGTATTACTGGAGAATAAAATTTTTGACTTCTCGAGATTAATCTTCTCCCCTGATCTTTGACAAAAGAAGTTAAGAACCTCTTTGAGAAAACAAGCATTAGACTTATTAGCTTTGCCGAGGAAAATGAGATCATCAGCAAAGAATAAATGGGACAAGTTAGGACCTCTTTTCCCCAATTTGGTCCCCTTCCAACACCTCGAATCAGAACAGCCTTGAAGTTTTAGAGACAAAAATTCAATACTTAAAAGGAAGAGATAGGGGGATAGAGGATCCCCTTGCCTCAGACCTCTAGAAGGTTGAAATTGGTCAGAAGTACTACCATTGATAATGACAGCAAAGGTTGAAGAAGATATGCAAGACATAATTAAGTCAATAAATCGAGGAGGGAAATTAAAAAATTGGAGAGCCTCCCGAATGAAACCCCATTCAAGCCTATCATAGGCCTTCTCCAAGTCAAGTTTAACGATCATGTCACCCACTCGACCCTTCCTTTTGGTGAAAGAATGGACAAGTTCCCTTAGAATGAGAACATTATCCATACCATTCCTGCCTGGAATAAAACTAGATTGAAGGGGAGAGATCAGATTCCCCATTAAGTTTTTCATTCTCAAAACTATGATCTTAGTAACAGCCTTGTAAATGACATTACAAAGACCAATGGGCCGGAATTGAGAGACCATTTCAGGATTTGGGATTTTTGGAACGAGAGCAATCAAACTTTGGCTCCAAGAATCAGGCATGGCAGCATTACAAAACACCATGCGAATTTCAGAGCAAAGCTTGGGGCTAACTAAGTCCCAGAATTTCTGGAAAAATGCAGCATGGAGACCATCCGGCCCTGGAGCTTTCCATGCTTTCATAGACTTAATGGCTGTCCAAATTTCAGCATCAGTTGGGGAAGCCATAAGAGAGTCCCATTTAGAGTGATCAACAACCGGACCCCTAGGAATGTCCTTAAAGGAGTCATAGAAGGAGAAGGTATGAGAAGATGTGTAGAGGTCTTTAAAATAAGAGAGTGTAATGGCCTGAATTCCAATAGGATCATAGTACCAAGTGCCTTGAGCATTCTTAAGTCCCATGATTCTATTGTAGGAACGACGTTTGATAGTAGAAACATGGAAGAACTTGGTGTTTCTATCACCATCCTGAATCCATTGGGTGCGAGACTTGAGGAACCAAAGGTCTTCCTCATATTTAAGAATATGTTGATATTCTTGAGTAAGCTCTTTTTCTAATTGTATAAGAAAAGAACTATTTTTGGATTGCAAGAATCTTTGGATACCAACAACCCGAGCAAGGATCTCTTTTTTCTTTTTATGGATGTTTTCAAAAGTGGCTCGACTCCATATTCGAGCCGAGGATTTGAAATGAGTAGCACACTCAGCTATAGGGAGATTGGAGACCCCCCACTCAGTGGCAACCAAATCCCTGAAGGATTCATGCTCCAGCCAAAACTTCTCAATTCGAAAGGGTTTACTTCCCATGAAGGGAACAGTAGGGTTAAGAGAAAGCATTATAGGGCAATGATCAGAAGAAAGCCTAGGGAGATGATAAACAGCAGCCTCAGGAAACTTAATTCTCCAAGACGGATTACCCCATGCTCTATCCAATCTTTCACGAATGAGATGACTAGAGTCTCTCTTATTTGCCCAGGTGAACTTGGGTCCATTAAACCCCAAGTCAAGAAGATTACAATAAGACATACAGTTAGTATAGGCTTGGATTCTGTAGGACGGAGAAGGATTTCCTCCAAATTTTTCTGACTGATTTGTGATATCATTAAAATCCCCTATGACCAACCAAGGACCATTGATGACCTGAGAGAATTCCCTCAAGTTATCCCAAAGCTTACACCTAGTTTCAAATTGGGGCCTAGCATATACAGCAGAAATATACCATTCAAAATCTGCAAAATTAGGGTGAGAGCATACCTTGACAAGTGCATGGATGACTTGAGAGCCCTTATTAAGGATATCCACAGCAAAGTGAGAGTCGTTCCAAAGGATCCAGATCCCTCCAGCATAGCCATCTGCATCCACAAGTTCCCATTTTGGTAAACCCAAGCTCCTAGCAACCTCTATAGCCCTATCACCAGCGAGCTTAGTTTCCATTATGATAAAAATTCCAGGATTATGCTCACGAATAATCTCCATAGCATTCCTTTTGAACTCATTACTTGCCGCACCCCGACAGTTCCATGAGAGTACTTTCATTGACCAAGCAATACTACTGAAGGAATTCATGACCCAACGGCCCAACTCTTGGTTCCAATGAACTGAGTTGTCCAATCTGCTCTTGATCATCATGTTCACTTCTGGGAAGTAGAATGGGAGTACAGTTTGTATGTAGCGAGCTCTCATACTGCATGGAACCTCCTCCCGTAGGATGATCAGATGCACAGCTTTCATGTTTCCCATAAACGACATTTTGTTGAGGAACATACTGGCTTCCGGGATCTTTACTATTTGAGGGGAAATCTGTTCCTCCCAAAACTCCCAACCCAACCTCTCTCCGATCGAGGTCCATGTCGCTCTCGATGTAAGGCACATGTCTGGGGCTTGTAGGTGAGGAGGGAGTGGGATCCACTCGGGTGGAGGTGGTAGATGCGGCGTGAGGTCGACACCCTTCTGCACCACCACCGGTTTGATCCAACACTTGGCGATTGTGTCTAGATCCCAACCCTCTATGGGGGTTGGATCCTTCATCAGTAACATTGACAATGCCGTCTCCATTGGCAGAATGTTGTTTTCGTCGTTGATAAGAAAAATGTCCCACTCCCTGCACAGTTTCCCGAAGGATCTTGGATCCATTGCCCAAAATTCCACCGGCGGAGGATGACGCAGATTGTAGGTTCTTCGCATCTTTTGAAGAAGGATCAAGACAAACAGGAGCTAAACTCTCTTTCTTGTTATGTGCCCCCTTTGGCCTTACTGACATCTTATCTTTGTCCACAGCATTATCCTGACAAAATCTAGGAAAATCCTGCACAGTCAAAATATCCAAATTAGTGTTAGGCAAAGCAACTCTATTGGAACTAACCTGGTTACTAGCAATAAAAGGCTCGTTTTCTTTTAAGTGGGCCTCCGGTCCAGTAGTAACAAAAGATCCGTTACAAGTAACGGTAAGATCATTAATTGTATTGTCCTTTGAAAGATTGGCTTCCCCATGATTCTGTTTTAACTCGTCCCTTGACCCAGTGAGTAGGCTACTCGAGTTCCCTCCATGGGAGGTGCTCGGCTTACCGTGTTGATTGGATGAATCAGAGAATTTTCCATTGGGTTTCCTCCTATTCTTCTTCCTTTCAACTAACATCCAAGGGCCAAACCCTTGCTGCTCCTTTGAGTCCAAGTTTGGTTCAATATTACTATGCAAGGTCTCTGGAGGGGCAGAGGAGTCTTCCTCCATATTCGTAGGAATTTGAGACAACTTTAGAGGACAAAATCCTTCCTTGTGACCCACACACCCACAAGAAAAACACAGAGCAACAGGACCCTCGTATAATACTTTTTGAATATGCTTGCCAATCCTAACAAAAGGAACAAGAGGTTCATCCAAATCAACTTGTATACAGATCCTAGCAAATTGCCCTCTGGTTTGATGGGCAGTGTGGGCATCTATGCGCAAAGGCTTCCCCAGAAGTCTTCCAATCCTCTCTAAGATTTTCACATCGTAGTATTCAATTGGGAGTCTGGGCAATCTGGCCCATATAGCTGTGGTGGTGAATGCCGCATTTTCTGGATTAAAAGATGGTTCCCATTGCCGAATAGTGAGGTAATAAGGCCCTACAAACCATGGCCCCCCATTTAGGACCTTGAGTAAATCATCCCTTTCCTGAAACCTTATAAGAAAGAAATCAACACCTAGATCAATACAATCCATCCTTCCTCTTGGCTTCCACTGGGCTTTGATTCTCGGGTAGATAAAGTTGTAACCTGCAGATTTTGTTCCAAAGGCCTTTATGATTATAGAATTAATCCATGGGGAACGAATCCTTTTCTTTTCCTCTTTAGAAATCAGGATTGTAGGAATTGTTCCATCATCCTCGCAATCGGAGTCCTCCTCCAGGAGGTCAAGATTTACAGAGGTATCACAGCAGATTTCGATTGGTTCATCGCGAATCACCAAATCTCTATATGATAGCTGCTGTGGAGGATTCTCGATCAGTTGATATTCCTCAGAGATTGGAGGGTAATCGCTGCCTTTGATCCGTTTGATAGATCGATTCAAGAGATCGTTCTCCTGGGATGATGCGCGAGGATTGTGAGCGGTGGACATGGCGAAAACTAATAAATTTTAATTATATTTTATTTTAAGTAAATTTAACATAAAAATTTATATAAAATTAGTTACGAATACTACATTTAATGAGGTTTAACATGTGCCCTAAAATATAAATTAAAGAATATGTTTAAAATATGCATGTGGCAATATTAATTTTTTTTTTACTTTTTATAAATGTAAAAAAGTATATTTAATACACCCTTAATATGTATCATTAATACCCATGTTAGACAACCCCTTTAAACTAAACCAAACTGAAACTTGATTGTCACATTTTGGCCTACAAACAAGCCTTTTTTTTTTTGTGTTTTTGGGTTGCACAATGAGAGCAATTTTTTTTTATCCTTTAACCTACTTCATTTGCATATCATGTAAGTAAAACTCAGAATCTTTTATTTTTATTAAAAGGAGATTATTACTAAATTATTTAAATTATTGGCATAAATAAGTTTGTTTTAAACAAAAGAGCTTTTTTTTTTTCAATTTAAGCACCATTTTGGCCCATAAACTTTGTCATTGATAGCAAAATGGTCTTCAAATTTTTTTGGTAACATTATAGTCTTGGTACTGAAATGGCCCTCGCTTCTCTGTTAAAAATTCTATTAACTAAGAGGTGTGCCAAATTTTATTTTTGCAATTCTGGTCCCTCAATTTGCATCAATGTGAACTTTAGTTCTCATATCTTTTTTCAGATTGGTCCTTAATTTCAATTTTGTTCTTGCAATTTCATCCCTCAACTTTAAAAAATCTGGCAATTCAATCCCCCAAACTTATGGTTTCTGGTACTGTCTTACCTTTTATGCAAAAACAAAAAAGAAAGGAATAAAATCACATCAAATAAAGTAATGTAAGTCATTCTCAAAATAATAATAATAATAATAATAATAATAATAATAATAAAGTAATACAAGTCAAACCTCATATGGGAGGTAAGCACATGATTTTCGATCGAATTCTTTTCTACTAATATTTATTTTGCTAATTCTAGGCCAATTGTTAAAATTTTAAAAGCAGGTGACCATTTAGTTTAGGGTGTGACATTTGAAGTTAAGAGTGAAGATATATTTTTATGTATGGTTGATTATTAAATGGAAAATGATGTGTGTACATCCGGATCCAACACTCGAGTGTGCACACCCGAATCCAACACTCGAGTGTGCACATCCAAATCCAACACCCGGATGTGCACACATCATATTAAAAAAAAAATACCCATCACCCGGTTCAAATTTTTTTTTTATGTGGACGTGTACACCCGGGTGTTAGATCCAGGTGTGTATCAATTATTATCCTTATTAAATACATAAAAGAATAGCATTGAATTAAAAGATTAATTGATTATGAATTTTTAAAAAATATATCTTCAATTCTAAGTGTTAACTTTAAATTTTTTTACTGTAAATTTGTACTTATCCCAAAAAAAAAAAAAAAAACATAAAAAAAATGATGAATTGGCAAAATTTTTTTACACGTTAAATGGTTTCATTGGTTTTTCTGTATCCCGCGCGGGGCACGCCGGTGGAATAAAATTCCTTATTCAATCCGATTACTGATAACTTTTCTCCTTCTATTTCCGTGATGTCAGTGCCATGGCTGTGGTTGTTGACGATCCTCTCAATGTTTGTAAGTCCCCCAACGTGGGCTATGGGGACATCGTCGGAATTGGATCTGAGTTTGCTGACTCGAGAGCTGTTGGACTCGGCGAGGGAGCTCGAGTTCCTGGAATGGTTAAAAAGGATTAGGAGAAGAATCCATGAGTACCCAGAACTGGCTTTTGAAGAATTCGAAACGAGTCAACTCATAAGATCCGAGCTGGACGCGCTAGGGATACAATACACATGGCCTGTGGCCAAGACTGGCATCGTGGCTTCTGTGGGGTCCGGTATAGAACCATGGTTCGGTCTTCGAGCTGACATGGATGCCCTCCCCATACAGGTTTTGCTCCATCTTAATGATTTACTCATTTGTTATAAAATTCAAGCATCACAAAATTTTTTTTCCAATATATATGGTGTTACTAGTTTCATTTGATCCCAAAAAAAAAAAAAAAATTATTTATGATGTTATTCATATGCTATATAAAAGCAATACCTTTCTGTGCAAAAGATCAAACTATGGGTAGAACGGACTGGAGGGAGTATCTGATTAGGAATTGAGACAGATGAGTAGTTGGGGTTTCTGTCAATGGAGTTTCCTGTATTATCATCCATAGTAATTTCTCCATATTCTGTTGGGATGCTACCCGTCTTCTTGATTGACCATGAATGAGCACATAACCTATACATTTAGTTGTAGAGTTTTACTGATGAAAGATGTTTTTGGTACCCTTTTTCTTTCTTTCTTTCTTTTTTTTTTTTCTTTTGTTTTTAATAATTTAATGGGTATAGAATCTCTAGATTCAGAAAGTCTAATTGATTTTCCTCAACATTTTGTCATTTGGAGTTAAGGAATTGGTTGAGTGGGAGCATAAAAGCAAAAACATTGGTAAGATGCATGCTTGTGGCCATGATGTTCATGTTACCATGCTGCTTGGAGCAGCTAAGTTACTTCAACGCAAGAAAGATCAATTAAAGGTGAATTCAGATCAACTTCATGTATCTGCCATCTGATGTCTGATCTTTTTGTTTTTGTTCTGACTCAATTCCAAATCATGATGATATCATGTAAAAGGGCACAGTTAAGCTTGTTTTCCAACCAGCGGAAGAGAGTTATGGTGGCGCTTATCATATGTTAAAAGAGGGTGCTATTGACAAATTCCAGGGTATGTTTGCATTACACATTGCACCCCAGCTGCCCACTGGCACCATTGCCTCCAGACCTGGTCCTGCCTTGGCTGGCTCAGCGAGGTTTGTGGTCAAAATTCAAGGGAAGGGTGGGCATGCTGCTGCACCCCACAATGCCATCGATCCTGTACTTGCAGCAGCCTTCGCTGTCCTTTCACTCCAACAGATTATTTCGCGAGACACAGATCCTCTTGAACCCAGGGTATAAAAATTCGTTGTTAAAAATTTCTCCTTAAGCTCTGTTCATTTACATTAATTACAAACCTCTAACAATATATCCATATCTGTTTATCCCTTTCCTTACCAAAACAGGTTGTCTCAGTTGGATTTGTTGAAGCTGGGAAAGCATGGAATGTAATTCCAGAGATTGTGACATTTGGCGGAACTTTCCGGAGCATTTCTGCAGAAGGCATGTCCTATCTGAAGGAGAGAATAAAAAATGTATGTGCATGCTAAAAAACTATGCAATTGATTCATATATTTGAGGTGAGTTATGATTTCATTCTAGGATTTTTCATATTACAGGTGATAGAGATGCAAGCTGCAGTTCTTCAGTGCACTGCTACTGTGGATTTTCTTGAGGAAAAGCTGAGGGCGTATCCTCCAACCATTAACGATGAATCTTTGTACGAACATGCAAAAAAGGTCGGAGAATCCCTGCTTGGGAAATCCAACGTCCTGCTTGCACCACTGACTATGGGGGCTGAGGACTTTGGCTTCTATGCACAGAGAATGGCAACCACCATGTTCTCCATAGGGACGAAGAACAAATCCTCAAAGCCAAGCAGCGATTTGCACTCACCAGAATTGATTGTTGATGAGGAGGTTCTTCCCATTGGCGCTTCTCTACTCGCTGCTGAAGCAATTTCTTACTTGGACAATCATGTTTACTTGTAAACTGCCTTCTTTTACACACAACATCAAGAAACTCATTTTAGTGGCTGTATAATTATGATGGAATTTTTCCACTAACACTCAGATGCACATCTCAAGAAAAATTACTCTTTTTCTTTTAGATATTTTCATAACTAGAAAAAATGAAGTGGGTCAGGCAAGAGCCAATGACACGGGTACTGATGGATGGTGGAAGGTGGAGATAAAAGGTCCAGAGGAAGTAATATGAAAGAATTTTTTTCTTTCTAATTGCCTGACAAATCAACAAATTTGTTTCGTGAGAAATTTTGAAAGCTCTACAAAATTCGAAACCTCTAATTGAGAATTTACATTGATAGAAGATTTCCATACATTAGAATTTCACATTTAAGTTATGAGTAAATGGATTTCTATTCTTAAATTATTGGATTTGCTAAAACTTTCCTTGATTTCTTTCTTGGCACTTTAGTTTTGTTGGGATCAATAAAAGTTTAGTGGAGTTAATATTAGTAACTTAAAAAATTTTTATTTAAGGTTAAAATTAGATACTCAAATATCTGACTTTTAATATATTAAAAAAAAATCTTAATCATATTAGATGCCTTATGCTTTCTTGCTAAGTAAAACTTGAACAATCAGTAAGGTTAAGAATATTATATAATCACTTACTTTTATCTTAATTTTATAGAATGAGAATTAGAGATAAAATTGACATATTAATGAACGGTTCTAGATGGTTACTTGAAATCAGTGTAACTTTGCATCTGATCACACTTGGCTTTGGAATTAGCTATTTGAGAAGAGTACCCCTGATTTAGGTTCTTACTTGCTTAGTGTTATCAACTCCTACCCCCTAAAAGGTAAAATTGCAAAAAACTAGTTGTCCTCTTTCAAGGAAAAAAACAAATATTATGCAACATCAAGAAAATCCAAAAATATTCACAAGTCTTACGCTGTTTCCGAATTGGGAAGAGTTGTTGCATTGTTGGCAAGTTATACCATCCATATATACCCATTCTTGCAATAAATAATAAATACATACTAATTTACCTGTTTCTTCTTTAAATGAATAAAGTTTAAAAATATTTTTGTAATTTAAATTAAGAAGAATTGTTGTCTTGTAAGTTATATGATACATATATCTCATTCTTGCAACAATCAATGAATATATACTCGTTCACGTGTTTCCTTAAGTAAAAAAAGTTATTAAAAACTTACATATAAATGAACAAGGTTTCGTTGTCAAATGACTATCGACAAATTATTCCCATATGACTGCAGGGAACAAAACTTGCAAAGAATAAAAATCTAGAAAAGAAGACAGCAGTCGCTTACGCAAGGAAGATAATGCTAATAGATTAAAAGCCTTTTTTTCCATTTTTCTTTTTTCCTTTTTAAGTTTATTTAACCACAAACTTAATACTCAGAAGAATCTAAGAATCAAAGAAGCTTTTCCTATTGCCCTTCAAGCTCTGCTCCTCATGGGTTTCATCATCATCTTCTTGTTACTCTCTGCATTACTACGGCGATCTTGGGCGGTAGAGACATGTTCTGGACGTGGACTCGAGCTCGATTCTCTGACTCGTGAACTGCTGGAATCAGCAAAAGAACCAGAGTTCTTTGAATGGATGAGAGGGATAAGGAGAAGAATCCACCAGTATCCAGAGCTGGGGTTCGAAGAGCACAGGACAAGTGAACTCATCAGGACTGAGTTGGACTCGCTCGGAATCAGCTACAAGTACCCTGTTGCTAAAACAGGGGTGGTTGCTTCAATTGGGACTGCTTCTAAACCTGTCTTCTCCCTCAGAGCCGACATGGATGCACTCCCCATTCAGGTTCATAATTCATCAAATTCTGTCTTTGCGTCATTCAATTGCTTCAAAATTGTCAAATCCTGTCTTTTGAGTTATTCATTCTGCTCTCATTATGTTTTAGGAACTAGTAGAATGGGAGCACAAGAGCAAGATCGATGGCAAAATGCATGCCTGCGGCCATGACTCTCATGTAGCAATGCTACTCGGAGCAGCTAAGCTACTTCAGGATAGAAGAGATAGTCTGAGGGGGACGGTGAAGCTAGTTTTCCAGCCCGGGGAAGAGGGTTACTCTGGTGCTTACCATATGTTACAGGATGGTGTTCTTGAGGATATAAATGCCATCTTCGCTTTGCATGTTTTGCCATGGGTAACAACTGGTGTCATATCCTCGCGACCTGGTACGATGCTTGCCGGTTCCGGAGTGTTTTCAGCTACCGTTCAAGGTAAAGGTGGACATGCAGCAGCGCCCCATTTGACTACTGACCCGATTCTTGCGGCGTCAACCGCAGTTGTTTCTCTCCAACAGATTGTTTCCCGGGAGTCCAATCCCCTGGAGGCTAAAGTAATTCAATTTTCCCCTCTTTTAAATTTTTTGAAAATTGCGCTCTTAACAAAGATTTTGCGTAAATTATAAGCTTACGTATTTGATTTATTGCAACAAAAAGGTGTTTCCAGTCCAGGCTTGCTAAATGACATTTTTTTAACTCAAGAATTTTAAGTTACACAAAATAAAGTGTTACGTGATTATAAAAGTATTAAACATTCTCAATAAATTTTATTTAATAAAAATATTTAAGTATTTCACAGCTCTTATTACATGTAGGTTGAATTACAAAAAGAACATCTCTGATTTCACATTTAATGAATCATTGTATATGATTGATTCATTAAGTATAAATTTGTCATTTTCTGTCAGTCCTCTGTTCGGACTAGAAACAATTCTTTTATTATTATTATTATTTGAGCGAATTAATTGGTAGCATCTATATTGTTTAAGTGTTGAATTGTTGTTAACTGGTTACAAATGTTTCCTAGGTAGTGCACATATAAAAGACTCTCGATGAAGAAGCAAGAATTTACTCAATTTTTATTGTTTGATGCAGGTTGTCACAGTTGGATACATTGAAGGAGGGAAAGCAGCAAATGTGATCCCAGAGACTGTTAATTTTGGGGGAACTTTCCGTAGCCTGTCCAATGAAGGTCTTTTCTACCTGAAACAAAGGATTAAGGAGGTCATTGAAAAGCAAGCCTCAGTCCATCAATGCAGCGCCACGGTTGATTTCATGGAAGAGACGCCATTGCCTTATCCTGTAACAATTAACGACGAAGCCCTGTATGAGCATGCAAAGAAGGTTTCAGAGTCCTTGGTTGGAGAAACTAAAATGGAGCTCTTTCCAATAATCATGGGGGCAGAAGACTTCAGCTTCTTCTCACTCAAGACTCCAGCTGCAATGTTTGGGATCGGGATAAGGAACGAGACAGCAAAATCTGATAAGCCACTGCATTCCCCTTACTTTGTCGTTGATGAAGAAGCTCTTCCTATTGGAGCAGCTCTTCATGCTGCTGTTGCGGTTTCATATTTCGAAAACCATGCGCTGTTTGACCAAAACAGAGATAAAGATCATGGTTTGGCTTGTGATGTGCCTTTGGAAAGGATCAAACCTACCATCACAAACACAAAGCATGGATGGACCAATTGAGGTGCAAATACTGGAAGTTTGCTCTCTATGTGAGAATTGAGAGAAACATGAGAATGGATGAGTATATAATAAATTTGGTCCATAAAGTTCTATGTTAATTAGTCAAAATTTAGTTCATCATCTTCACATACACGCCATGGTGGATCACATCATGCTTCTCAATGCTTGAATTCTTACTGAGAAGATGTGATTGATGAAGAATGATATAATATCGAGAATATTATGGAAGAATAAGAAATTGTCAAAATAAAATAAATCCAATCAGGAGGATAAAGTAAAAGTGGCCACCTAACTATTGTAAAAGTGATATTTAAGGCATCAACTTAAACCAAACCTATAGTAAATCTCTACAATTTAATAGGTACTACTACTTACAGGGCAAACTTCTGTTTTTGTACCTACTTAATTAACTAAGGAACTTGGAGGATTAATTGAGTCATGGAAACAAGGATCAGATGTAAAATCAACTTGAAACAAATGTTTAAATAGAATGGTTTTTTTTATTAGTAAGACTATTAACAAGTAGAATTATTTGTGAGTAACTCGTAAGTTACTTGAGTTAAGTTTGAGTTTGAGCTTTCATGATTATTTGTGAATTACTTGTGAATATTTGGTTTAAAATTAAAAATTACCTCATATATTTATTTATTAAATTTAAATATATAATAACTTGAAAACTTAATAAGGTTGAAAATGTAATTTAAATAAATTATATATTTTGAGTCATAACTATAAATAAAAATGTTCAAATGGAGTTATAACTTATATAAGTATTATAGTATTTTTGAAAAAAGTAGAAAAATTTATGGTTAAATAATTAATTTTTGAAATATTTTGAAATTATAGGGAAAAAGGACTCAAATTCAAGTCAAAATATTCATTAACTTGAACTCTAGAGCAAGTTCAAACTCACTCAAATACTTGCAAGTTTAAGCATGAATTCAACTGTTTTGAACTCAACAGATACTTGAATTTGAATTTTTAAAGTGAGTTTGAGCATGGACGCCTATATACTCAACTCAATTCATTAACAACCCTACTTTTTAGTTTGGACCATATTGCATAAAAAATTATAGTTGAGTTATGAAAATATCAAAATATCTATACTACTTCTATTAAGATAAACATGAGTGAAAAAAAAAAAAAACCTAGCATCAAAAGTTTGGGGAAACAGTGGCAAAAGCTAGAAGCCGTTGTTCCCCCCTTCCTTCCCTCCTCCATCGTTCTTTTTTCCTCCCCTAAGTTGATCTCTCCTCTCTGTCTCTTTTCCCCTTCCCTTTGACAATTTTTTTGTGCCTACCTTTCTCCTCCTTTACTATTTCCGTAATTATTTTTCTCTTCATATTATCTGCTCTGTCCCTTTATTCCCTTTCCACCTTTTCCACCCTTTCACTTAAGGCAAATCTACTATTGTGTGAGACAATTTTCTTTAGAGTATGTCGAGTCCCTCCTTATCAGGTTTTATGGGACAATCGAGGGATGATAGCAAAGGAAATTCAATTAGAAGGTAGCTAGTGGATCAAGGGCAGAGATTATGGGCAATATCACTACAAGTGGATGGGAGATTAAGGTTGGTTAAAACCTCATTTTGGTTTTTCTACTTTAACAAAAAGCCTCTCTTTAGTCTATCTACTTAAGAAAGTTCATTTTTAGTTCTTAAAGCTTATTATCTTATTTCTTTTTAGTCCCTTTATTTATTTATTTTTTTTTTGCATATATGACACATTAGATAATAAAACTTTTAAATTAAATGGACTAAAAAAAGGTTTTTTTTTTTTTAAGTAGAGGGATCAAAAGAGAATCTTTTAATTCTTTTTAATTTCTTTATTTTAAAATTTTCATCATTTATCGTATCATGTGTGCAAAAAATAACAAAGGGATTAAAAAAAAGCTAGATAATAAGCCTTATAGACCAAAAAAAAGCTTTCTTAAATAGAGTGACTAAAAAAGGATTTTTTGTTAAAATAAAAGGATTAAAATGGGTTTTAACCATGAAGGTTTGTCTGATTTAACAAAGGACCAACAATTAATGGGTGGGATAATCCCTTGTTGGGTTATCTACTCTCCCTAAAAGCTAGCAATTTTAGTCGAATTTCCTATAAGCTTGGACTATTTAATAAGATAATTCTTCTATTGTAGCTCTATCATTGCCTCTAGCCTAATTGTTTTTAAGTTTTAATTGTAGATAGCTCTTTATATTTAATTATTTAAAATCATCATAAATATAGTTTAAATTTATAATTAATGCTGTAAGTTAATGTTTCAATTTTAAGCTATAATATCATGTTATTGAGAGGTTCTAAGTATTCTCTTTTTACTTCTTAATGAAATTTTTTATTTTTCATTAAAAAAAAATGAAAAAGATAACATGGGCGACCGAATTGGCCTTTTCCACAACCATACTATATTCCGGATTGAAAAAACCATTCTCATCTCCCATATTCACAAAATTTACTGTGATTGGAGCGCTCGCGTTCCGTCGATGAGCACTATGACTAGAACTAAACATTCCAGTCTAAACTGCCTGTTTTGTGTTAAAAACATGAAAACACAAACATTAGTACGATGGAATACCGGAACAAGACAAAGCCGTGGTTGCCACTTTACAGTCGATAAAAAAACGCACTCTTTCATATCCCAGACGCATTCTACATATATATCAAAAATATAAGACCCACAAACAAATTTTGGAATGGAGTTCTTGGGGGAAACCGTTCCAATGGCGGTTATCTTGTCCTTGTTACTCTCCTCATTTCTATGCCAAAATTTGATCTCGGCGGCAACTCCAGGATCAGAACTGGAATCGTTGAGTCAGGAGTTGTTGGAATGTGCAAGAAAGCCTGAGTTTTTTGAGTGGATGAGAGGGCTCCGGAGGAGGATTCACGAGTATCCAGAACTGGGTTTTCAAGAACACAGGACGAGTCAACTGGTCAGGAGTGAGTTGGACTCGCTTGGTATCAGCTACAAATGGCCTGTGGCTAAGACTGGAGTTGTGGCTTCTATAGGAAATGGTGCTAAACCTGTGTTCTCCCTCAGAGCAGACATGGATGCCCTCCCTTTGCAGGTTTTCTCTCTCTTAGGGTTTTGCTTAGGTCTCTGTTAATTAAACTGTGCCACCATCTCGTTAATTTGCAATGTTTTGTTTCAAGTTTTTCTGAATCTTTACAAGAATTGGGTTGTATTGAAAAGGGAAACTTGGTGATATACTGACACTTAGGCCTTTCTCCACTCCAATTGATGGTGGCAAATTCTAATTAACAGTTTTCTTTATGATAAATTTATGAGTTATGTTGAAGGAACTAGTAGATTGGGAACACAAGAGCAAGGTTGATGGTAAGATGCACGCGTGCGGTCATGATACTCATGTAGCAATGCTGCTAGGAGCAGCCAGGCTACTGCAGGACAGGAGAGAGAGATTGAAGGGAATGGTGAAGCTAGTTTTTCAGCCCGGAGAAGAGGGTTATGCCGGTGCTTACCATATGTTAAAAGATGGTATCCTTGATGACATTGATGCAATCCTTAGCATCCATGTTTATCCTTCAGTTCCCACAGGTGCCATTGCTTCAAGGCCTGGTCCATTGCTTGCCGGTGTTGGGCTCTTTTCAGCCACAGTTCAGGGGAAAGGTGGACATGCAGCAGCCCCACATGAGACAAGGGATCCAATTCTTGCTGCGGCCTTTGCCATCACTGCTCTCCAACAGATTGTATCCAGAGAGACAGATCCCCACGAATCAAGGGTAACTTCTTTCTTTACATTTTTGATGGGCTGCTTATAGTAGGAGTTGTAATTTATATCAGTTTTCCATGTGGCTGCTCAAAAGAGGAGTTGTATTTTATATCAGTTTTCCATGTTGCACACAGTTCATATTACTAGCTTACGACTATTAGTTAAGTAATCAAGTCACCCGCAATGTGATCTTTTAATGTATCTGTGCAGAATTGATGATGAATACATGTTTGAGTTTTGGTAATATCAAGACTTATAAATATCTATAAACAGATTTGTCAAAAACTTAAAAATTCTCAAGTTTTTGTATAGGATTGTCATCATTTGTCTGTATGATCCATACTTGATTGTTCCTTCTGGAAAAATTGAACATTTTATAAATCTTAACTCTTGCACAATCATACAGGTTGTGACTGTCGGTTTCATAGAAGGAGGTCAAGCAACAAACGTGATCCCTGATTCTGTGAAATTTGGTGGAACTTTCAGGAGCCTGACTAATGAGGGTCTCTCGTACCTCAAAGAAAGAATCAAAGAGGTAAAGCCTGATTTTTTTCTTAGAAATTTCCAGAAAATGTATGTGATTAACAGACTAAATTGCACTTCAGGTCATAGAAATGCAAGCAGCAGTGCATCAATGCAGTGCAGTCTTGGACTTCATGGAAGAAATGCCAATGCCTCATCCAGCAATGAAAAATGATGAAGCATTATACGAACACATAAAGAAAGTCGGAGAGATCCTAGTTGGAGAACATAATGTGCAGCTCCTTCCAATAACCATGGGAGGAGAAGACTTCAGCTACTTCGCACAGAGAACAGCAGCAGCAATTTATGTGGTTGGCATAAAGAATGAGAGCCTGAAATCAGACGAGGCATTGCATTCACCGTACTTTTTTGTGGATGAAGAGGCTCTCCCTATTGGGGCAGCTCTTAATGCTGCTGCTGCGATTTCATACTTGGATAGTCATGCTCCTGCAACTCGCTGAAAGATAAATTGTTGTAAGTTTTATGAACAAAAAAGCTCTATAAAAGATGTAACAATAACTACTTCAACGGAGAGAAAAGAATTGTTCATAAGTTGAAAAAACATTCCTAGCAGGTTCAATTAGGCTCTTCTAGTTCTGTTTGTACTTTTCACAGTG